AAATTTCAGGTTTTAGTTAGAAAATTAAAGTTAAGTATAAAGTTGATTTAGCATGTAAGTTTTACAAATTAATAGTTGTCTGCGGTAAATTACGCCGAAGATTGTACCTGGTGGTAGGTAAAGCTGGTTTGAACGGGCTATCGGCATAATTTGCAGCGTTAAACAGAGTCTGCAATCGGAAATTGTTTTACTAATGAAAAGTCAGCGTATGATGGGTGTGAAAATGTCGTATTCATGCAGATCCGAAACAATAACTTAAATCTGATAGATGTCAATTTAGATGGTTCTAGTCATATTGGCATATGATGATGCAAGGAAAGTTCGTATCAAGAACTGGATTTCTTTGGGTTAATTGGCCCACTTATGTTTGGTCGATATTACAAACCATCGTAAGGGATATTTTCCCCGTTCCTGTATTATCGTTCGTGTAAGCTTGAATAGAGATTAGGAAGCACACTTATACCATGCCACTTCAAACACACTACTTCAACAATATATATTAAATGACTGCGAACAGTGAGTCAGTAGGTACTGAAATAAAAATACTAATTTATCAATTTGTCGCAAGCGGCTGCAATAGGGCTACTCCCGCGATTCCATCGCCAGGACACTCCGCTTTCTTCTTTGCACCATGATGACTTCGATACGGGGCCTTTGTTGGCCACATAAACATCTGTTAATAATGTTTTCCCTTTCTATTTACAATGTGCATCTTAGATACACTATACACCATACTGTACTTCAACTAAACTTAACTTAATAAACGGCCATACTCTATATATTTCCGAAGCAATTGCCTTTTAACCCAGTCATTGTCCCAGATTGCTATCACACTGTTCGTAACGAGCAAGACGTGGCAAAGATGACGATCTTCTTTGTATGGCCATGGCTTGTTCGACAGTTATTGTATAATCAGGGTTAAGGGCCATCGACGTTGTCATTATTAAGTTTGGAGATTCACTAGTTCTAATTGTTGGAAACACTTAAGAATATATATATATATACGAATAGCATATTTGAATATTAAGGGTACTCCTTAGCAAACTCGTAGCTTTCCCAAGATACGATCACACTTATCAATTAATAGACCGTAATTTTAAAAATAGCATGTTCGGCTTTCGTTATGGAAATATGGTTTGTCACACAGGACGGCCAGTTCCAGCGTATTACCTTTAAAGAGAAGAGAGAAGTCAGTGGCAAATAGAACAACCTGAGAATCATTTAAGTTCCCACTTGATACTTTGTTCTATCGCTCATGTGATTTAGAAAGCTTAAAATAGCTCGATTCTATAGCTATATAGATAGCTAAAGTCTCCTCGACCTAGTCCGGTACATATTTACTGGCTAGTTTACGATAACATATCCTAATTGGATAAAGAACAAATTTTTTTTTTCGTTGTTTCTGCGGGCTCGTACTATGATTGTACACAATGAATGAGGACGGGTGGCTCAACCTTTCTAAATAAGAGCAAAGACAGAGGTTTTGTGAATTATCTAGGACTTTAGAAATGGTTAGGGACCGCCCCCGCAGTTAGGACCGATAAAATTGCCAAACAGCAAGGAAAGTGAGATGGCCGAAACCTTCCTTTCCATAAGGTTGGCTTGACATCATGCCAACACGCTTTTGGTATGGTTGATCTGGTATATTGTAAGCATTTGTTACTACAGGTAAAAGCAGCAATTGCGCACTAGTGGTCGACAAAAGCAAAGTAAGGGCATTTCAGCAAAAGGGGGCATCGTGGAATAGTCACCTCTTAGTACCGAGCGGCACGCATACCACAATGGACCAGCCGGCGCTGTACTATGTTGAGGGGAAGAGACCAGAGGACCCAGTGAAAGTGACTGCGATGTGAAAAAGGCGGAGAGAAGCATAAAGCCGAGGGTTCTTTCGGAGCCTATCCCGCTGAGCCGGATGAGGACAAAGTGACTCAAAGGACAGGATGACCGTGTGGACGACTGCGGTGTCAGCAGAAGACGACGGCACACAGAGGCTCAGTGCTTGTGACGGTGCTTGTAGTTGCAGTAGTTGTTGGAGTTCGGCCGCTAAGCTGGCCGGGAAGAGGAGCAAGAAGAATACAGTGGACTCGCAACGTGATGAGAGGGAAATTTAGCCAATTGTTGTTTAGCTTTAAGCACCGCGTAGCCGTTCTCGCAGCGCCACCGCCCCTACTAGCACTAGTTGCTCCCGGACAGTTCGATGCTCGAGAACAACCCGTGTCCGCCAGGATGG